TATAGATTCGTCAATATCCCAAAACAGAATGATATATGAAAAAGAGGATAACCTCAAGTCGAGCACTCCTTTGTGCAACAATCTCACTCGTTTCTCATTTCTTACTTTGATGGCTCAACCTGTTTTTGTTGCGCATTTGAGTTGAGCAAAAGGTTCCTGAAAGGATTTTTATTTTACTTCTTCTTTCTGTTTTTTTGTGAAAGCCAAGATGTATTCTCAATGCTCCAACGCTGCACACGTTTTCTCACCAAATCAGAGAGTCATAAATGCATTTTATTATTATTTATACAGTCGACTGCAGTCGACAAAACGTTGCCCTCTGGGGCATTGAAAACGTTTTTTATTATGCATCCAAAGTTGTTGGATTTTTTTTGGGGTAGGTGCAACTGCAGCAGCAGCAGCAACAGCGATGCATCTGATGATAAACTAAGCAAACACTGAGCCAAAGCAAAGATACAAAGGTACATAGAAACTTAGATACAAATAAAACGTGGAGTTTTTTTTTTGCTGACCTAAGTTACACTCAGATTCTGTTGTCAACTTGGCGTTGACTTTTTGTTTGTTTTCCCTGCGGCTGCTGGTGGTGCTGCAAATGCATTTCCATAAATATTTATACATTTGTGAAGTTGATAAAAACAAGTTTTGGCTCAACACGCGTTTACCGGGAAAAACACGCCAGCGAGGAACCTTTTCACACAACACACTTTCCATATATATATATATATATATATACCTTTCTCTCCGTCCTTGTTTATCGGCTAGTTGTTCCAATAAAATTGAAAATGAGTTGTCATTTTATTTTTGGTTTTTGGCCTGGAACAAGTGTGTGTTTTTGTGTGTGTGTGTTGCATGATTGATGATGATTGTTATTGCGGTTGCAAGTAGCACAGTAGCCCAAAAGGATTTTCTGTTTGCAGTACGGTAGCCAGGAATAATATTTGCATACTTGCATATTAGCCTTTTCCACACAATATTTGCATTGCATTTCAAAAACAACAAACCAACAACCATCAATATGGCTCATCAAAGACGATTTGTTAAAGATGATCCCGTCTGTCGAAACAAAACTCCAGCGTTGACCGCAAACAATTTGTCCAAAAGATAAGCCACAAGTCATTTATAAATGTCCTGAAACTACGATTTCTGTTTTGTATATATAAATGACTGGTCATTTGCCAGAGGGTTCAACGATCGTACGGAAAGATTTTGATCTAATAGAAAGCACACAATTGTATATAAAAGGGGCAGTTTTTGAGATCTTGGAAGAATACGTTTTAATTTTGCTTGCAGTGACAAATTTAGATCTTTGAGGTGTTCCTTTTGAGACAGTATAAGATTGAAGAATAGCTTTCAATTTATTATAATGACTTTTGTATTCATTTGCGTCATTTGGACTCATTAGAAGTATAAGGAAATTCTGATAATATTAATTTACTAATTTCAATATTATAATTGAAAAACTGAATGGTCGATATTTAAGTATTTAAAGTCTGATCGATATCAACACTTTCTTCCAATGATCACCTAAGAATATCTTAATTTTGAGAATTTATTAGTTGTTAAAGCATAACAAGCTCTTCTGATTAGATTACTTTAACATATCCTAACTCATCCCTCAACACTTTCTATATTATAATAATTACTTAATACATAGTTATCAAAGTAGTAAGTAACTACTATATTTCTAAATTATATAGGAAAAAGCATTGCTAAGTCTGGGAAAATAACAAATTTCTTTTTGTAAGCCCACACAACTTCAGTTCATTTAAAAAATACAATTTTCCCATGGGCTGTTCGACTTGATTACACCCAATCGAGAACACTTCCGCTGCGTTCTGCGAATAATTTCATAGCAAGCCCTTCAGCAGAAAAATACCTCTACATATCCTTAACCATAGCGCACCTGCCCCAGAGTATCTCAGTCGGAATTGGGCTTGCGGTCACAGTTCGTGAGCTAAACAATTTTATGGCAATTTCCTTATAGCGCAAGACCCGCTATGCTATATGGGTAAATGTTAAATATATCTTGTATAATTTTGTACGTTACTTGTTCTGTCACGCTAGCTGAACACTCCAGAAAAAAATAAACGGGAGAACTCCCGCTAGGAACACGTGGCATATGATATGTGCATACTTAGTTAAGTTTCTCGTATTTGGTGTATATCTTGGGGGGGTGTCTGTTGATTGTCTATGTTCCGCTCGGTGCGATAAGGCGTGCTGCATTTGAAATGAGTGTAACGTATATTTTATACAGAGCCAGCACCAGAATCGTTGACCGTTGAGGTTTCTTCTATGAGATAATAATAACATTCCGACAATGGCGACCTTCAACTTGGGGCATTGTTTATTGTTCGCTTGTTTGTGCCGCTTATCGTAGACCAAGTGCAATAAAAGAACGACTTGGGCTTATCCGCCTTATCAGTCAAATGGAGTGCATTTATGGGACTAAGACAAATTTAAGACCATTGAATAGCGCGGTATATAATAATAATGCTTTTCTTATCGAATATGTTTAAATTTCTTTGCAACTATTGATTGATCGATAAAAGTAAACCATAGATTAAATGACTAACAAATTTAACTAAGAATTGGACATAAATTGACTGATTAATAATGTGAACTTATCTTGTAATTTATAAACTACATTGACAAATTTTTACTCTGTTCTGCATAGAATATTTTGTTTCATAGTTTTAAGGCCAAGCTTGCTGGATAAGAAATAATAGCAATTCATTGATTATCAAATTTGTTTTAATTTCTTTACAACTATTAGTTTCTATATTGATTGATCGATAAACATGAAACGTTGATAAAGTTATTAACAAATTGTACTGAGAATTGGGGACCTAATTTATCTAAGTTAGAAACAATATTGACATACTTTTCCCTGATCTGAAGTTTTAATGTCAAATTTTGTGGATAAGAAGAACATATCATCTGCCAGAGCTCTTAGGTTATTATCAACCAGCATTATTGGCTTAATTCAATGGATAAACAAATACGCATCTAAAACCCGCACGTTCCAAAACGAAAACGTTGAGCAATCCTTTGATGAGGCTGCCCTTATAAAGGATTAGGAGTAGCACTTGAAGAACACCCCATTGTGTGTTGATAAATTGAGCTACCTCTTTTCTTTCGTTCGTTCTCAATTCGACGCCTTTTTCCGTGTGTTTACACAGCAAAATGCAACCCATATAGTTTTTCAGGACATCCTGCACATACTTGAGGGAATTACGTAAAGGGATCACGAACTCTATATATATATATGGCTACCCCACCATGAGATCTTGAGTTGTTTATGTTTCAGGCATGACTGCAACTCAACGCCGGCAGAATTTCTGATACCAAATTTGTTAAAAACTGTGTAAATTTACGTTCTTTTATATTTTTTCATTGGTTTTTTTTTGTGTTTTTTTTTTTTGAGGGTGTGTCCCATAAACAGAACTCTGCGGTGTGTCTGCTTGGCACTTGGTAGGGCACAGGGTATCGTCTATAGGGAGAGAGGCGAGTCCAAATCTCTCGACTCGGATGCCTAATCGATCGATAGATCGGTTTTTCGTCGCTTGCCTTTTTGGGGTGATTGCACTCGGGGCATGGTTTTAATTACAATACGTTTTTCTTCCTTTTTTCTCGGTTTTTTTCTTTTTTCCGTTTTTTTTTTTTTCTTTTTGTGAAGTGCAAAGGAACAAAAGCAAATGATGTCTTTAGTTTTGACTTCTTTTTCTTGTCGTTTTTTGTGTGCGCTTTAATTGCATTTGTGCAAACAATATAAATCGAATTTTATTGCCCCGACAAATGTAATTTAATTTTTTACGATTTTGCACTTAAATACCAACGACTCAAAGCTTGGGAAACTTATATCATTTTCACTTAAAAAACGAAAAACAGAACCGTTAAATTATCTTTACAGTCTGATGCCCATTGATGCATTTTTGTTGTTGTACAGTTTTCAGAGTTTGCCCCACATTTGATGGCCCCCAGTTACAATAGGAAAGTGAAAACTGTCTGCCGCCCTAAATACAATTCATCTGACTTTGTTTCCACTGCGCCACTAGTGGCACAACAACAACAACAAAATCCAGTTTTAGGTTAAACAAACCGAAACCAAAACATTTTTTATCTACCCATCCACGCATTCAACAAAAGTACAGCTCCAACCCAGACCAGACCAGACAACACCAGACAACAACAAGCAGAAGAGAGCATAGAATTTCCAGCAAGTCGAATATCGCATGCTCTTATCGATATAGCTGGTTAGAGTTCCTAACGTAACATTGCAAATTGCTCATTCAAATTGTTATGCTTAATTTTGGAGTAGAGCATTTAAAAACACAGAGCAGCGCTGCTTCTGCTGCTTCTTCGATCATTTTGAATGCGAGGGTTGCTGTGTCGACGAGACAAGCACGTTGTATGGCAACGCTGCGGTGGTTGTTTGACGTTTCTTTTTCTGGTTGTGTTCTTGCTCACTCTCTGTCTCGCACTCTTGCTCTCTGGCTCGAGAGCGAGAGCGACTGTATTTGAGCGCAGAGTTGACAGCGTCTCTTGGCTGCTTATCTGGCTGAAAAACAGCTAAGTGTGAGATTTTCAGCTAGCTTTATAAAACACAACAGCGATTTTCTACTTGAAGAAATAATAAATGCCCCTCCTTATAGTAGTTGTTTTATGAACAAACTCAAAACAAAGAAAAAATGTTAACAGAACACATGCATTCAACTGTTTGCATATATTTAGCTCTTTACAGCCGCTCTCAGTTTCTGGCTGCATACACAGCTCTCTTTAGCCGTTTTGTGGCAGCTAGCTAACATGGCAACAACATTGCATGCAGTGTGCTCGCAGTCAGTGAGCGACGAAGAGAGTAAATTATACGCTTCAGAGTGACAAGTCATCCGCACATAAATATCATTTTTCACCGTGAACGTACGCTTAGTTTTGTTATTCTGTTCGTCGAGCTCAGTTGTGCTCAATGTGCGCACGCCACTTCAAACATAACAAAAAATATACTCATAAACGCGAAATACCGAAAAAACTATAATATGTTACAATATTAGTTGTAAATGAGAAAATAAACTGAAAAAAGTGCATACACAAAACGATCAGACCTTGAACAAAAGTTTCTTCAATTTATGTGCTCAACTCGTCAGTTTTTTTTTGAGTTTGAGTGGCATTTTTTGAGTGTGGCCAATAAGAACAGACAGCAGCAAATTCGAGCGAATATAAATAGCAGATTGAAGTGGACAAAAAAACACAGTTCGCAGCGCATTTGTTTATATCATAATTCTAAACAAATACTCGACAAAACGGCAACAACACAATTTTCACTTTTTTCAGACGAGAAGTGCTTAAAACGCAGAAGCAAAAGACACCAACAAATAACTGTGCTCCACACACACAAGCAATAACGCTCTCTCACTCATACTGGCGCAACCTCGAACGAGATTTGGAGACTAAGTGTATGTGTGAGCTCGCCCCTCTTTACGTACAGGCGAGCACAAAGAAACAAAAGTTTTGGCGGCAAAACTTTGACATTTCGTTTCGCGCAATTTCGCAAACAAGTGTCCAAAGCGTAGGCAGCAAAACTGCGTCGCATCGCAGCCCACTACAGAAATACATCCAAAACAAAACTACAGCAACTGCAACAATAACATGGTCAGTGCACGCCTTCTCCATTCGGTTATGCTGAATGAATTCTGCAAGATGACCGCCAGTCCAGCGGTCAGTCGCAATTTGGCCTGCGGCCGTAAATTGGATCACGTCAAGCGCAATCTTTTTGGCTCTGCGCAGACGACGGCGACGACAACATCGCTGGAGTCCAAAACGTGAGTGCAACAAAAATTTGGTACAGTGATCGCTGGCGAAATTAGAAGAGTTTATTTTGAGTGCATTAAAACCAACATTTTTAATATGCAGCTATTTTTTTTTAGCACGCTTTGAAATTGTAGTTATGCATAAAAAGTGGAATATGTAATTTTAAGTGCATTTTACGACTTGATTTATTTATGTAAAATGCATTTAATTTTTATACACAATAACAATTTTTTAGTGTATATAATATTTAATTTTCTGTGCATGTTATAATTTGATATATTTATTTAAAATTCAGTCAATTGTGAATCTGTGAATTTAACGATTTATGCAGCACTTAATAAATAAATATTCACACTTTATTTGTGCTGCATTTTAAATACATTAATCAGTTGATTATAAATAATTATAAACATTTCAAATGCCACACCACAAGCGAAACCTTTTCAATTTCCCAGCGATCACTTTATTAAATATATATATAATTATAAATATATTAACAATTATGTTCCACCTCAGCTCCGCCTTCAGCACGGAATTGGATCGCTATCCGGAATATGCCAGCCAAAAGTGGGGCTATGATTTTCGTGCTGATCGTCCGCTCGGCTCCAATGCCACTTTCATTTGGGAGCGTGTGAGTACGCAGGAATCGCACTGTGCACCACCGGTGTATACCCTCACCCGGGCCGCGCATGTGCGTCCCGAGCAGTGCAGTGCGACGCCCAGTCAAATGGAGGCATTGCTCAGTGAACGTGCCGATCGAGAGAATCTGATGAACTCCTCGCTGGACTCAAATACGGATACGGAGTACGATTCGCAGGATGAGCCGTTGACGCACGTTGCGTCCACTTCTTCGGCGGCTGCTTTGTGCGTTGCCTCCTCCTCTGCCACCTCCGCTGCCACATCCACATCCACATCCTCCTCCTCAACCGGCGGCGTCAGCTGCAATTCCAGTGCGCAGCAGCAGCAGCGCAAGCGACAGCTTAAAATCACAGGTGAGTATCTTTTATTCCCCTCACTTTCCAGTTCGCTCTTGCGTGTCCCCCTTTCCCAGTCGCTATGCCTGATTGCACAAAGGGGACTTTTAGGCACTTATTTCCCATTAACCCGAGTTTCGTTGATGGAGTTCAGTTTAGTGTTGCTTTGAATGGCAACTAGTATTATTCAATCTGAAAAGAAGCTAACGCTTTGAACAAACCTTCCAGTCCCCGTCAAGCCTAAATACTTCTTGAATAGTAATTATTTTTTATCTAGCTCTACTCTATTATAAAGGTATTCAATGTGGAAAACTGCTAATGCATTTTCAGTTAAAATTTACATATATCTACATATGCACAATTATTATTCAATCTAAAGAACATCTAATTTATAGCTCAAACTTTACAGCAGCTATCAAACCCACCTCTATTTAATAGTTCTTTATATTTGTATAACTATCTTCCATTTCAAATGTGTATCCACATATGCATTATGTTTATCGAATCTAAAGAAGAACAGATTTATAGCTCCAACTTTTCAGTGACCCTCCAACTTGCCAGTTCCCATCAAACCTATCTGCTGCTTGAATGCAGTCCTCTTCTGGCATTGGGTATTTTCACTTTCAAATGTCTAATTACATATATATTTCCATTCCCAAATCAATTCTGCTCCTTCTTTAGTTTGCCCTTTAATTGTTTCCCATTGTGCAACCCTTTTTGTTTTCTTTCCACTTTCAACTCTCGCGTGGGCGTTGCTCAATCTGAAAACCAAAATTATAGTCTTAAGCCGAACGCAGCTCGTTGTGCTGTGCTTCAACACATATAATTAGCTTTGTTTTTATGTGATTTTTAGTTAAAGTGGGGGTTGCTTTTGCTGCAAACAGATCGTTGCAGCTGTTTGACAGCGACCCCCCCTTCCCCCGCTGTCACTGCTTTTAGAGTCAATGCACGCAACATCCCCCTGCGTCTGCGGGGGTTGATTTTCATCCAAAAAAAATAGATGCGATCATTGCATGCGGGCATAAAATGCTAACAGATGTGTGTGCGAGTGTGAGTGTGAGTGTGTGTTGGCTCTGCTTTTTGGTTGACCTCATTAGAGGCATAGATCTAGAGGGGGGAAGAGAGAGAGAGAGAGAAAGAGAGAGAGGGGAGACTGCTTGAACTGCAGCTAAACAATGCGCCCGCCAAAGCAGCAGCACTTATCGGGCAACGTTGATTGCTTTTGTATAATTTTACTCGTTTCTCCTTTTTTTTATGAATGCCACTTGGCAAAGTTATTAACATAAATATATAAAAAAGAAGAAAAAAATAGTTGTCTGCGCTGGACAGCCCGCATTTTCAGGCTTTGAGGCTTTGGCCTTGTCTAGCTGTACTTTTGTGCAGCGAAGCCTTCGAAAACTTGCCCAGTTTCTGACAGGGCGTGTAATTTTATGCAGCCAGAGCCGACTACCTGGCTGGCCTCACCCTATTTGTTATCCCTGTGCAGCAACCCTCGGCTGCGTCTGTGCCTGCCACGTGCCACAATCCACCAATTTAAGTAGAAATCAAAATGTGCAAAAACAGGCGGCGCCTGCTGTTGCCACAGACAATATATCACAATTCCATAAGGGTAGCTGCTGCTGCTGCAGTTGCTGCCAACAGCTGACTTTATCCAATTGTATGCCTAAAAATAATTACTAACTGTGCATGTTTTTTTCTCCTTTGTAGAGTTCATGAAGGAGCGCAAGCGTCTCGCACAGGCACCCAAGAAAATCTCACCCGCCAAACGGATGCGCACCAATTCCGGCTCCAGTTCCAGTGTGGGTGCGCAATTTGGTTGCCACCTGAAACGTTCGCGTCACAACTAAAAATTGATTATTATTACCCGAAAACTCCACTCAATTTGCAATTTTTATTTGTAATTTTTATAATGCTGCTACAAACAACAACAAAAAAGAATTATGTTTAATTTTTTTTAACCACATTAATAACAATTTTTGTATAAGTTTTTAAAGAAAGCAAACAAACAAACATTAGGTACTCATTTATAGAATTTTGTGTGCAGTGCAAGGGCGAAAGTTGCGAATATTAACTAATAGTACTACTTTTCTAGTTTAAAATGCCAGTTACTAAACGATGGATAAAACAATGTAATAAAACCAGTACTAGTACTAGAACAAAAATTAGCCTGTAAGCCTTAAGTATCACCTGCGAGCTAAATGAAACTTTTTAGATTTCTCTAGTGAGAAATGCCATAAACTAAGTGATTAGTTCTTAACAACAAAAACAACAACAACATAACTACTATGTAATTTCTATTTGATAAACAACAACAAACAAACACCTAGAGACACACTTTTGAAAAACAACAAAAAACAAAATTTAAATTTATAAGAACCAAACATTTGTAAAATTTCAATTGTTAAATTTTAACAGCAACATTTTTGGGTCTTGCTGTTAAAATTTGCAAAGTTTCAACTTAATGTTGCTCTGCTTTATTATTACTACATTTATATTGTAATTCTATATATCGATATATTAATTATTATATTTGATATATATATCAAAGCAGAGTTACATTGATTTCTCTTAACAAAATAAGCCCCAAAACTAACAATTATAAATCTGATCTTAGGTCTGATTTATTCTTGTTTCAGTTTTTGTGGCTGAATCAAAAAGTCCTTTTTTCGACCAGTGTAAACACAATTAGAAAATTAAGCTTCTTATTTTTGCCAATTTGTGCGCTTTTGATGATATGTATTTTTCCCTTAAATAGTATTACCAAAACTTCATAAATTGCCAAAATTCACAAAATGTATAAAATTGCTTTCGATCGCGTTGCCAAATTGATTGGCAATTGATGAGAGCGATTTTTGCTTAACATGTACAAAACAAATGCTATACATTATAATTCTAATTCTAATTCTAATTATATATATATTTACATACAAAAAACTATTATACACGTAGGCAGAGCCTATATTATTGAATAACCCTCACATCGATCATCCTATTTGATAAGTCTTAGCATATAGAACAAACTCCAAAGTATTCGCATAATATTTATATATATAATTCATATGATGTGTGTAAAATTTTTCAACTCATACTTACAACAATAAAAAAAACACCAGTAAACAAAAACCAGGAAAAACAAAACAAAAAAACTGACAAACTATTTGCAATTTTTGTATCATCCAAATTTCAACTCTTATACTTACAGTATAAGAGTACAAACACACATACACACATGCATTTATATGTTGTTGTTTGTTTTTTTTTTTTATATTTTATTTGTGTAGACTTTTATTTGTTTATTTGTATCAATTTTAGTTTGTACACTTATTAAGTTGACTTTTGTTTTCCAATAAAATTTGTTTTTCATTTTTTAGTAGTGTAATTTGTAATAATATCTTCTAGGCGGATACTCTCGACTAGAGTATTTTCACTTGTTAGAAGCAGAAATAACTGCAAAGAAGATACAACTGCTTAATTATGTTATATTGTTGCTTCCAATACGTGTGCTTCATATATTTGCATACTCCTCCGTACCAAACGCTAATTGTAAGGAAAGAGTAGACAATTTCCGAGGAGAGATAAGAGAGATCATTGGCTTCCACACATTCCACACGATTAGTCACTGCGCATCTTTATCGCGTTGTACGCTAATCGGCTGTTAATTTATACAATTAAAATTCCTACACCTAATAAAAATAATATATGCACGTACTGTTTACAATATTCTTGAATCGGCGAGCAATTGATTTTATGATGTTTTCTAGAGAAAAGCAAGCAAAGCACTTAAATTATATTCGCTTTTCTAGCCACAATAAAGCTAAAGAGAGCAGGAGTTTTCAAGGCTAGTTGCTCATCTCCAAAAGTGAAATGCGAAGAGGAAAGTGAAAGAAAACTACTCTGCTGCTGCTGCGCCAATCGCAAAGAGACGAAATTAAATAAGAGAGGCAGAAATATCTGTGACGTTTTTGAAGCGTCGAAGAGAGACTTAATTTTGTTGCTGCTGCGGTTGGAAAGTGCTTCACTTGTTCTTTTAAAATATAAACAGTTCTCTTTTAGTTTTTCATTTTTGAGTTTATTTTGTAAAATTAAATATGATTTATTACTTACGACAAATACATCAATAATTTAATTCATGCATGCGAACATAGAAATTGACTAACTGTAACTGAGTTTGGCATTAGGTTCCACACACTCTCTTTGGTGTTCTTCCACACGATATATATAGTACAATGAGTTATATACAAATATATTTGAGGATGATATTTAGTTTGCTCTAAATGTAATTATTTCCCCGTTGCCTTCTCCTCCAGCTGTGCTTGAATATGCTTCACATTCTGCCCCCCGCTGCCCTGGCTGTGACGCTGGAAGAATGCATTAATGGAACTCATCGAACGATATTCCAGATTATCGCTAATGTGCCAATCAACGCTGATGCTCTGATGTCGGCCGACTGGATTGCGTATCTTAGTCTCGTTGTACTTTTCCAGCAGATGCAGTAGGCAATCTTTCGTTGTGTTCGCCGCCTCCTCGAGATTAACCGTTTGATGGGTATCTGGTAAACCGATTGGCACATCGCGACTCATTTGATTAATACGAAATTTGGCGCGACGACTGCTCGCCGACTCGGTGTAGATGTTACTGGAAGTGAAACTGGAAGTGAGTGGAACTTGACTGCGACTGCTGCTGATGCTGCTGCTGCTGCTGCTATTCGTTTGTGCGTTGGCCGTGCTAATGGTGTTCACTGTGGATTGGCTGCGATTAAAGGACTGTGTTTGTTGTTTGCTGCTCCCGTTGCTCAGCTTGGGCATCTCCTCAATGGACTGCTGCAGTCGCATCGACAGCGAGCTGCTCTTCTGCTGCAGCTGCGTGGAAACACGACCCGTTGTTCTAATGCTGCTCGTCGTGCTTCTCGTGCTCGTACTCGTGCTCATGCTCTTCGTCCATTTGCTGCCCGCCTCCAGCTTGGAGCTGCTCTCTTCACTTGTTGTCGTTGTTGCTTTGTTTTCCTCTGCATCTCCCAACTTGGTGTTAATCTCCGCGAGCATTAAGAGATGATCGCTCAGTTTGCGTATCTCATCGGCGAGATTAACACGCTCGCCGGAACTGCGCCTGCCCAGCAGATAGTTGGTGTCCGAGTTGCGGCGATCGAAGGTGTGCAGATAGCTTTTCATGCTGCGCTGCTTTTGGGCGCTGCTCTCGCTGCCGGAGAACTCGTCAAAGTTCTCGTTGAACAGATGTTGGGGTGTGGGCGTGGCACACCCAGAGGCAGTTGCTCCTGTTGCACCCGTCATGGGGAACAGTTTCTCGCGGGATTCATTGATGGGCGTCGTGGCCACCGAGTGTGGACTCTCCACACTGTGTCGCTCCTCGTCCGGCGTCTCCGCCACCTCCAACTCATTGGCCATCTCGTCATCGGTCAGTGTTGCTATCGATTCGCAGGGCGAAGGCGAACAAACTGCAAAACACGCAAAACGCAATTTGAAAATCAAGCCTGGAACTCTATAAATCACATACAGATTAGTTTCTCTCTTTTTTTTGGGTTACGGATTACGATATATCGAAAGATATTGACACAAAATTATACATATAAATTAGACAACATGCTTATGAGACAAAAAAAAAAAAAACAGCCAAATTGGTTAGTTGTACAGAAAAGTAAGTAATGGATCGTATACAGCTGTAGCCTTGACAGACAATACACTGTGAGAAAATATCGTACTCTGAGTGATGAGCTTCCTTATGCCATTCTCCTATTTAAGAAATTATGTGCCTATCGGCTCAGATTTAATAAAATTTGAAGAAGTTTGAAGGCGTAAAACAGACTTTCTAACATTTTGAGAAATTTCCATATCAAAATAATAATCAACATTTTATTTTTTGTTGCATTTATTTGCAATTACTAAGTAATTGTTAATGACAAATTTCACTTACAGTGAGTAATGATTAATGACTGTTTTTAATTACCAATATTTAAATAATAGTTTAAATAGTAATTATGGGATTTAAATATTTATAGAAGATTATTAAATGCATTCCAAAATACCCTACTGTAATAATTAATGACTGTTTTTAATAACAAATATTTAAATAAATAATTAACAATATATAAACACTGCTGTTAAGAGATCACTTAATGCATTCCACTAAATCCTTACTGAAAAATATATACAAATATGTTTTTTTTTATAATTTCTTATTCATAAGGATAACAACATAAATAAGCTCTATGTTTGATGATAAAGAGGCCCGTTTAATGAAATGAACTTTAGAATTTGACTTGTTTTGTTGTTTGATTGTTTGTCGATCGATGATGGGGCTTACCTTATCCGGAATATATAGTTCTGAAACTGTGGCTAGATGTTGAGGCTAAACTCGAACTAGGTAAGGATTATGTCTTTTGTGTATTTGTGTTTTGGTTTGTATTTGTTTTTGATTTGTTGCGGAATGTTTGCAAAGAGTTCGTATTTGAAAGAAGGTTTTTGTTCTGTTGTATTTTGAAGTATATATTTTTTTCTTGTCATTGGCTGTCTTTATCACAGTGTCGAAACGCTAAGCAACTTAAATAACTAGGCAATTTTGTTTTTATTGGTTAGACGAGGTAGCATCCGCAACAAGGATGCGCTTAAAACTACGGTTAAACTTAACATTTATAAAAAAAAACACAACAACATTTATGTAAATACTCGCAAGTAATTGTTTCTGTTTGTTGTTTGTTGTATTTGTTGCTGTTGTTTTGGTTTTTGTTGTTGCTGTTGCTGCTGGCATGCCATTTTCTACTTTCTCTCACACAACACAACACACACAAAACATAATTACAATTTTAGCTCATGTTAACACAAAACATTAATAGATTTAAACTGAGAATACGAGAGTGTGAGTGAGCGCCAGCTAGAGAGAGAGAGAGAGAGATAGAGAGGGAGTGAGAGAGAGAGCACGAGAGCACTTCTCTGCTTCTTCTCTCATTGAGCTAACTTGGCTTACATTCAAGTTAATAGAGAGAGAAACAACAACAATTAGTTTTACGCTTTTCTTTCATATCTTTGCAGAGGGTATTTTGATTTTGTGGTGAAGTTTGTAAAGCACTAAAGTAAGGTTTATATATATATTCTTGATCAGCCTAATTAATGGCTTGATATAACCTTCCTTTGTAGGAAGTTACCTTGATTAGCAATGGACTGTAGCTGCCATTGGAATAATCGGACGACAGATGAGTTCTTGTATGAGAAACTTCTTTGTTTATCAAGTAATCATTTTAATAATAATAATGCTCTAATATTGGAACAAACAATCTTCAAAATCGGAAAACTGTAGCTAATATACAGAAATAATTTCTGAATTTCTCATTAAATTTGAATGTCATTAGTTAGACTTTCGGTCTGCCAGGGTATACAATCATCGACATGCCTAAGATACCCATTTATAACTGCTTAAACTGAGGAGTTATTTTGGATATGACCACCTGGATTCTACCTCTGCAGGGATATGCAAACTTCGGCTAGCCGAGGTTAGATTTCATTACTTGTTTTTTGTGTTTTTTGCTTTGTTTTGAAAGTTAATTGTGTAATTTACAAATTGGTTGTGATTTGGGTGTTCCCTTTGGCTCATTTGGCTCATTTTGCTCATTTGCCATGGATGAGGGCATGCCTGTCGCGCTGCCGCTGGGAGCCGGTGCCGCGGCAGTACTCACCTCGGGATGAGGAGATGCTGTCCGGGCCATGCTGGTGGCGCGGATGCGTATAGCTTGTCTCATTCAGCGGCGCTATCACATTGCCCTCGACGTCAAAGACGTACGGACTGTTCGGATGCGTTTCCCAGCGCACGATGAAATTCTTTAAATTATCCTTGGTGGCATCCAGCTCTTTGTTCTGCAAAGGGCAAAAGGCAAAGGGCAGGCAAGCATTATTTTGTTTTTATTTTTTTGCGCTTTCGCCTTACCTCCAGCTCATGTGTGGTGCAGAGCTTTGCCAGCTCCTCGCTGTCCTCATCCTGTTCTGTTGTCTCATCGCCGACGTCATCGTCGTCGTTGGCGTCCTCATTATCATCTGCATCCTCAATTGTTTCCGTTGAATCCTCTGAAGACTCCGAGGCTAAAGTTATGGGCGACTCTGACTTCAGGCGCGTCTTCCCGCTCGCTGTGGAGGCAGTCTTTGCTACTGTTGCTGCTGCTGCTGCTGCTGTTGTTGTTTTGGGCGTGGCTGGTGGATGTTGTTGCAACCATTTGTGCTTCATACAATCGGCAGCTGTCATGCGGGTGCTGTATGTGTGGATAAGAAATCATTTTGGGTTGATTAAAAGCTGCTGCCTCATTTATATGGCGAGACACTAATTAAGAATATATATATATATATATATATATGTAGTATAAAGATATATACGCACCTCAAGTCCTTTGCAAGGAGCTTGGCTATGAAATCCAGGCACTCGGGGGATATGCCATTAAAGCATTCATCCTCGAAATCGTATTTTGCAATGGTTACATTTGACATTGTTTCAATGTCGTTCTCTCCCATGAATGGCGACAGACCAGAGATGCTATTGTTGTATTTGTTGTTGTTATTGTTGCAGCATGTGTGTGTGTGTGTGTGTGTGTGTGTGTGGAAAAGTCAATAAACATGAAATGTAAAAGCAGCGCACACAATATAAATAAACATATAAAAAGAAATAAACAGCAGCAACGTTTAATTAACTAAATTAAATTGCTGTCGAGCAAAGGGGCTCTTTAGTTGGGTTTTTTAATTGGGAACGGGGGTCGAATTTGGCTCGAAACACCTTCTTCAACATTGCTCAGACTTTGATTATTTAATTCGAGACTGCCGTCATTTTCACAGATTTTTAATTAGTGTACTTTGCTCATTTACTTGGCAAAAACAGGGAAAATCCCCCCTTGGCAAGTTTTGATTAAATTTTCAAGTGTCTTAATCTTGAAACAAAAAAATGTCTGCGTCAGATTACATATTTTTTAAAGAGTTTTGGTACTTGAGTGTTAGTTACATGAAATGTTTTTAAGCTCTGATATTGATAAGTAGATAATTCAAAAATATAAAACGTAAAAGTTCCTTTGAATATTTAATAGTATTAATATTATTTAACGTTACATAATTTGTTATTTCTTCATGCTTTTGCCAAGTATTAAATTTTATTGTCAGATTGTTGCTAATCTGCACAATTTTTCTTTGCGGAAGATATGGGAATTGAACTAATAACTTCCATAAAAAATGAACATTAAGGCCTTATTTTTAAACTAAGAGTTAGCAAATCTAAAAGTTTGTTTAATGGCAGCCTTTTTAAATGGTCGAGTCACGTCCAAGCTGCACCCCTAAAATAAGATAGTTTTACCAGCTGTTATCAGGCTACTTACAGCACATAGCTGATGACACCAACGCTCCACATATCAGTGCCATACGAGATGCAGTCAAAGTTGACAACCTCAGGCGCCACAAACTCAGGTGTGCCAAAGAGTACCTGAAAACGAGTTCCAATTACAATAACTATGCATAATCAATTTTAAGCTTTTGACCTACTCTCAATCGCTTGTCTGGATCGAATTTACGTGCCAGTCCAAAGTCAATTATCTTGATGCGATTGCCTTTTTGTGTGAGCACCAAAATATTCTCGGGCTTCAGATCCAAATGGATAATGCCATTGCCGTGTATAAAAGCCATCGCTTCGCACACCTGTCTAATGAAGACACGACAAACACGCTCCGTCAACACAAATTCATCGTCCACAACACGATCGAAGAGTTCGCCACCCTCAATGCTGGGAGAAAGTAGAAAAATTAATACATAAATAATATAAAACCATATTTGTAGTTTTAGAAATGAACATTGAACACAAAACATTTAAAGACAGAACACATGCAGGCAGGAGCCAAGACAATAGTTAAGGCCAAGTTAAAAGCTCATTTCAGTTGGCTTACCTGGCACCAACTTTTATGTTATTTACAAGAGCCTACGGATTGGATGCCATAACACGAAAACCAGATAATACATGAGCATCAATCCATGTGGATTGAGTAATGCCCATTAACTTAGCAGCATTCCAACTGCCAAGCATTATTTTTACAAATCTGCTTAGCAGCGGGGTCCAAAATTAAGACAAATACGAGAACAGTTTATAATCTAAGTTTTTTTTTTTTTTGTTTGTTCTCTTTAAGGAAGTTAATGCGTTTTACTCTAAAAAGCTGGGCTGACTACTGGGCTACATAAGACGCTTGACTCAAAGCTATTAAAAACAAAGCTTCATTTAAATCTAATACTAAACACATTGAATAGCAAAACAAGCACAAATTGACGTTTAAATAGTTTATGTTTTAAGGTGCTTTCAGATTTTGGCTACTCAATTAGTTTTCGAACAATTTCATTTCATTAAATCGCTTCACAGGACAATCGGCTTATGTGGATATTATTTGGTGAATTTTATACCCTGAAACCATCAAAAGTGGAAAAAGCTATGATGAAATTGTGTCAAGGTTGCAACAGGCAGCAGAAAGCATCTCTGTCTCAATAAAGTGTATATATTCTTGAGTCGCATTAGCCATTGCCATATGTCTGTCTATGTGCAGTTTAAGTTTATTTAATATGTTTGTGAATATCGATACTTATCGATTTCCGATAGTAATAAAATACAATATTGTAAAAATATAGCTTTCAAATTTAATTAATTTCTGTATATTTAACAGGCTATTTACTCGTCGAGCTCTCTCGTTTACAGCCTTCTAAATTGTTTCAAATTCAACTTCAATTCTCATTCACATGTATAATCGATGTGACTTTCTGTATCCAGGCACAGCTGCAAAATATATATATATTTTTTGTTTGCCAGTGAAATGAAATATCTACTAAAGCCCACAAAATATGACAACTATTTCAAATAAGCTCCAATCTAAATATTATTGTGTGTGTCTCTGTGTGTGTGTGTGTGAGTGTGTGTATCTAGAAATAAAGGGAAATTTTCATTACAAACGGCAAAATGTACAATATGCAAACATATTTTGCAGTTTGTCAAGGATTTTCAATTGTCTTGAGCAAAAATGTGATTGCTGCATTTTATGAATATGCAAAACGTCAACAACTTTTGCAAGTAAACAATTAAGTATGCTGCCAGACTGATAACAATAAAAACAACTGTCAGCTTCTTTCTGGCTTCACTGTCGAGTGGGGTTGCTTGTGAGTAAATAATGTTGTTGGACACAAAAGACTTGTGACTCGAGACTCGTCACTCAAATTGTTCTTGTGGCCGTTGAGTGTTGCTGTAGTTTTTATTGTGACTGCTAGTTGCTGCCTGGCGAATGTGGGTCAAGGTCATGGCTTAATCAGTACCTGACTCAAACGCTTTTATGGCCCTCTTTTTGGATATGGCCCCAAAGACAGACATAACCGTTGTCCGTTTTCATTAGAAACCAAAACAAGATATAAAAATAAATATATGGAACTATTTGGCGTTTGGTTTAACCTGTTGCTTAAGGTTTTCTTCTTTTTTTCGCTCAGAGTGCTCAATGATAGAAAAGGGACAAAGTTTTATTATTGTGTGTGTGTTTGGGGGGCAGTCGAGAGAACTTTACTACTTTACGATAATGTGCGTACGTGTAAATCGTATTTTATGCACATTTCCCGCTGATTGCAAGATATTGTGTTCGACACACACACACACACACAACAATGTAAATAACAACAACAATAGAAATAAAAGTAGAAAACTAGCAAAAGTTAAGAGGAAGTTTGGTCAAAGTAGTTGAAGAAGCAAAATACACACACACACACACACACAAACAACAACAGCAACAAATACAAGCGACACACATATACGACATATACACACACACACATATATATAAATATATGCATAAATAATTTCTAGCTTTTTTTCCTTACAGTTCCAGGACGACGCACATCATTTTCTGATATTCGTATGCAGCATACAATTGTATAATGAGATGATGTTGCAATGAATTCATAATCTCCACTTCTCGCTCCACGTTCCGCTTGTCATCCCGCTTGGGTATGGGCACAAATTTGGCCGCCAATTGTAGGCCACTTGTCTTCTCCTTGCACTTGTAGACGGTGCCGAATTTACCGCTGAGAATTGGGATTGGGATTGTATCCATATGATTAGCATTTCATGCGATTTTCCTTATTTGCTATATATGTAGGGGTGCTGAGTATGGCTTTTCATAATATTACTTACCGTCCCACTTCGCCGAGCACGTCGTACAATTTATATGCGTCCACATTGCGGTTTATGGTCACATCGCGCATTGGAAATACCGGCTCCAAAACTGTGGAACAGAAGGCAAGAAGAGTTGGGGCATAAGTATCTGGTTTTATGTGCTATAGCAAATTTCTGCCATGTTTGACATAAAATTTATGATTTCTTTTTTCTGTTACATTTTTATAAATTTATAGTTCTCAAACAAAATTGAAAATACAACTCGTTTTGGGTTTATCATGCATATATATATATTGTATTTTTCCCACTTTATAAGTAGTAAAATAAGTTCTCTATTTGCCAAATATTTGCCCAAAAAGTTACCTAACATTCAGTATTGAGTGCTTGTTGAGCTTTTAACTTTGGCTGCAATCTTCATTTTTCTTTCAAGAAACCAATTTTTCCATTTTCAGTCTGATTTTTCTATTCACTGGCCAAAAAACCAAATACTAACAACCTGCAACATGCTGCATCAAGTCGATTGCCACTTGCAACGGCTCTTGAAATATTGCATTCAATCATTTTCATTGTGCACCAAATGTGAAATGCATTTAATATCGGTTATTATGGTCATATGCTTCCCCCCTTCTGCACAACCACACAAAACGTTCTGCTTGGCAGCATATATCGTATACATTTTGCTACTTGGGATACATTTTTTTTGGTGTTTTTTGTTTTGGTTTATTTCTTATTCAAAAGGAAACCCTTCTTAAAATGCGTGTGGTTGTTGTGGTTGCAAGTTGCCAAACAAATAAGAATGACTTCATTGAATTGAATTGAATTCAGCAGTCAGGGGACACACAACGTGAACAACCACAACCAGAAAGAGGACGACAAGGACGACAAGGACAACGATGACTAACTCAAATAACCATATTTAAAATAGTGTACATATGTGGATGTGAATAAACATATGTTGTAGGTGCGTCTATTGTGGACAAAAACTATATTCTCTTAAAACCCTGCATCCCAAGGGTGGCATGAAATATACAACATAAAACAATAAAATGTGTACCGTATATAGTAATAAAAAGAATATATTTAACTACATTTGTTAGAGCGTACATTTTTAGTTTGGTGCAGAAGGTTTTTTATTTAGATAAAGTCAGATAGTTTTCAAAAAACGGGTAATGATGATCTTTGGAATACATATTAAAATATTAACTGAATAGTCTGATAGAGAAAGAGCATAACTAATTCGGTTTTAGTTATATGCATTTCATATAATGATACTTTTATAAATGTCTATATACATATATATATTGTAAGCTGTCAAAAAAGCTGAATGCAGAATGCAGAGTATCAGCTAATCGAACATTTTCAGTTTTAACCTTTTTTAGTTTGTTTTTCTCGATATTCACTTTTGCATTTTGGCAGTTCAAATTGACATTTGGCCGCATTAAGAGCTCCATGGAGAGTTGAGCACAGAAAAAATGTTAAAAAGAAATCAGTTTGAATTTGCAATTTAAATTATTGATAAACTGCAAATGTGAGGACAGCACGTGCTAACAGCTCAATTGATCATCCTCTCTCTCTCTTTCTCTCTCTCTTTCTCTCTCTCTTTTTGTGTCTGATGTTGCTTGTTTTAGGCATTTGAGATACATTTAAAAAACGCTGCTAGCTGAAAGAGTTCAATTGAATGTCTGCTCAATTAATATGCAAATGACGCACATAAGTATGCTACGAAAACGAACGATAAATCTTTAAAATCAAAGACGATGCCATAACGCCCAAGTGAGTGTGCCAATGTGTGTGTGTGTGTGTGTCTGTCTGTGATTATTGGTGTGTGTGAATCGAAGCGGAAGAAGTGTGGACGCGGGGTGCATCAGCCATCATCAAAAACTTGGCAAATTCAAAGTGAAAGTTGAATAGAGGCATATGAAGCATATGCGAGTGTGTATGTGTGTGTGTGTGTGTGTGTGTGCCTTGCTATTTGTGTGCACTGATGCGTTGGTGAGTGTGCAACTTGACGCTGTCTAACTACATCTGCAATCTCTCTCCCACTGTTCTCCTTGGTATTTGTCCTTTGAGCATCCATTAAACGGCTTTTTGGCTCAAAATTTATGCACGTCTGCTGCAGTTTTTCGAGTGTGTGCGTGTGTGTGTTTTTGTGTGTGTGTGTGTGTGTTCTTTGAGTGCACTCTGCCAATAACGCGCACAATTTAAGTTTTAGCAAATATGACGCATTCGAATTACAGCTTTAATCTATTGCTATCCGCAATTTCATTTGGGGGCGTCTTGTTGAGCAAAAGTTCATGTGCAAAATTAAAATCGTTTTTTCTTTTGTGGTGAGCATAATTTATGGCCAGACATCGGGACAACTCAAATATTTTCATAAATTGCACGCGTGTCAGCCAAATAACACCTCCACACACATTTATTCTATGCACAAAAGGCAGTCTTAAACACACACACACACACACACACACACAAATGGGGAGTGGGATGAGCTGCAGTTAGCAACGCGCAGGTAGCACATTCATTTCCGGTTTGCAGCTCATGAATAAATGAATTTATATCGAGTCTGCTTGGCAGTTGAACTGCATCGCATACTTTCCAGCACGTATCCCCTGGCACATATACACACTGCGAGAAAAACATGTACACATTTTGTGGAAAACAAAATTCGAATCACTGATTGAAGAAGTAAAAACAGGCACTTTTCAAATATATATGTAGAACAAATATAAATCACAGTGTATATAAATATTATGTTGCATATATAAATGTACTTTTAGTAATTGGAATTAACTAACAAATTCTGGATTTTATAATTGTCTTAAATTGATGATTTTTTGATGATTTTCAATAAATTATTTCTGCTCCACACCTATCACAAATTAATGTGATTACACTACTAAATGCATCTAATTTTTTTTCTGTGTACTCACACTTCTAGTTCCCCCTCGCATCAGACCGCTCCCCCCACCCCATTATGGTGACGCCTCTATTGCTGTGGGTGTGTTTGATGTGGCTGTGTCTATTGCTCTGGATGCATCTCTGGCCCTGACTTAGCCTCAACTTGTTTGTACGAAATTCGATTGGATTTGGATTGCTTTGGGTGCCGCTTGACGCTGCAGAGGCTTGTGACTGGCTATCGAGTGCACAAATGCGCTTATAAACGCATCCAAATGGAGTCGAGTGGTTCTTATCAGGTGCGTGGAGTCTCTCCAATTGCCATTGAGCTATTTCGCTCTACGGTCTGGGCCCATGAATAACCAAGTAGTTTCAGTTTTTAGCGCTTGAATCATAATTTAAAGAGATACTTCATCTATAGCTAGCTACAGACATGCATATAAACATACATGTATTTAGTTGTTTTAATATCCCAGCAGTGGTTTGAACTTTATGCTTTGTCTGAAGTGAGTTTGGAAATGTTTTGAGTTCACTTCTATCAAGTATCAGTTCAGTTACATAAATTTGTCATGATTAGTTATCATGTGGAATGTTATTCATTTAACTAAAATCAAAAACGAATGGCTGAAATAGATCAGATCTCTTCAAAATAATGGGGGCATCAATATTAATGCTTTTATACTTTCTGAAGTAGAAGAAAAAGATAATTGAATTGAATTTGATTGCAAGTGATTGAATTGTGAATGAGTTGTGTCTGCCATTGCAGAGGAAATTATCTTTCTTTAATCCACATCTCAAAACATAACTTCAGCCACACCCCCTTCGTTATGGTAGTGTGGGCATTAAATGGCATTGATAAAATGCAACTCGTTGCGAAAACTTTGACAAAGTTAATTTATGCACAATATCAAAAGAGAGCGATTTAAAAATGGCAAGTGGCGACAATCAAGAGAATGTGTCTGAGTGGGGAATGGGAATTGAATTAAGAGCTGATAGATATAGATACTATGTGTAGTATAGTATATTTGCATGCACTTTCATTCATTTGAGTGCCGTCGCCATCTGCAGATAGTTAAACGAGTTCTTTTTGTGCGAACGCCAGCAATTTTTGTGATATGAAAATCAGCAGTTTTTCTTTGAATTGCCAAGCTCACTTTTCCCTATTTCTCCGCATCCCATCAACTTTTCGCTTTTCTTTTGTGCATTTGGCAACTGTTGACAATCTGGCCAAGAAGCAGCAAGCAGCGTCTTTTAACTTTAACTTCGCATCATAAAAATTAAATCGTTGTAAAGGAAGCGTTTAAAAATATTTCTCTGATTTTTTATAGTATCGTTGAAATTAATGAAAAATTTAAGCGCTGGGAAATTGTGTACAACAAATTGTACAGCAATTGCAAACTGTTGCACATCAAAATGATAACAGTACACATACACACAGTACACATACAAAAAAAAACAATATTAATGTGTCGCATTATGCATACGACGCGTGTGCCACATGCAAAAAAAAGATGGTTTTTTTTTTTAACAGGCGCGTTGGCATTTTAATATGAGCGTTAAAAGTTGAGACGATGGAGTAAAGAGGGCAATGGTGGGGGATATATATGTTTGTGGTTTATAGGTTTTTAATAACACTTTTTATACGGCCGACAGCCGCACAACAAATGGTCGACGTAAGCGTCTTGTGTGGGTCGCTTGTATTCCATAAGCCAACGACTGACAAGCATTTAATGGTCGACGATATAAATTCAAAACACGGTGTATTTCCGCAAAGATTAAGCAAGTTTTGAGTTTTATAAGGCAGTTAATGTCTAAACAAGTGCAGACTACAAGAACACTTTAAAGTGTTCCACGAAACAAATTCGTCTGAATTTCGATTAGTTTTACATTTTCCAAAACCATAACTATGACAAATCAGCGCTGAAATCGGCAGTGCAATTTAATGTATTCAAGTATATGATCTAGAAATATTCGAAAAAAAAATATATATTCTGAAATAATCTATTCAGACAATCTTTTGGAATCACAACACCAAAAATTATTTTTTCTTGTTTGTCTGACTCCAAATAATAACCAACATCGCAGTTGACTAATGGCGAAAGCCCAATGACAAACGACCGACAAATAAAAAAAGCACTGCTGCATGATGTGATTGTAGTTGTAGTAATAGCTGTTGTTGTTGCTATTGTTGTCATTGTTGTTGTTCTCGCCTGG